CAGGAATGCTGAGCAGCCCAAGGGCCTGATTTTGGTGACTCTGGATTAAGAAACTATCAGGAGGATGCAGTCTCAGTTCCAGGGACTTCCCTGGTGGCGCAGTGGTTAAGAATCCACTGCCAAAGTAGGAGACAGGGGTTTGATCCCTGGTCTGGGAAGATCCCACATGCCATGGAGCGGCTAAGCCTGTGTGCCACAACTACTGAGCCTTGGCTCTAGAGCCCAGCAGCAACAACTACTGAGCCTGCATGCTGCAACTACTGAAGCCTGCGTGCCTAGAGCCCATGCTCCACAACAAGAGAAGTCACTACAATGAGAAGCCCGTGCACTGCAACGAAGAGTAGCCCCCGCTCGCCAAAACTAGAGAAAGACTGCGTGCAGCAATGAAGACCCAACGCAGCCATAAATAAATAAATAAATTTTAAAAAAAGAAAGAAATCCTGTGTCCATACTGGTACGTGAATTTTCCCTGGCTCACCCAGCCTGCCAAGAACTTTTATTTCCTTTCAATAGATTAAAACCATGAACAGGTAAAAGAAGGAAAAATAATTAACTAATATAGAAATGGTCTGAAAAGAGAGGCAGACAGTGGCTTCCCGCTAATTGGGCCCTTGCCAGTCTCTTCCCAGATCCAACTTTCAGCATCTGAGGAGTAATCAAGACCAATCATTCCTCATCAATTACAGGGGACAGCAGCTTCTGACTTTGAGGTGACGCTCACCCACCAGCCTCAACCGTGACTTCTGCTACTCCAGTGCCCAGCTCCTGGCTCCTCACTTGAGGCTTGGCCCAAGCTCAGTGGATGCTCAGCAAACACTTGTTGAAAGAAGGGAATTTAGGGTTAGGGGATTAGGGAGAATGAGAGTCACAGTCCAGTGAGGGAGACTGCTGAGCAGAAAACAAACAAGAGATAGGTAATAAAATTTGGTGCTGATGTGAACAAAAGGGCTGGGAGATTTGGCCTTGTAGGGGATCAGGGGAGTGATATTTGCTCAGCGTCTTGTAAACCCAGTGAAATTCCTTGTTTGAAGGCATTTCCCTAAACTCTTCAAAGCTGTTCGCCGCTGGGCCTTTTCTCTGGTCCCCTAGCAATCACTACTGTGTTTGCGGCCTTCAAAAGACAGTTTCCACTAAACAGGTGCCAAACTACAGCAACCAGAGGTGGGGGCCGGGTGCAGCCTCAAGCACCCTGGTCTCAGTGTCTGCGCGGCTGGGGGTGGGAGGGTGGGGGAAGTGACGAGTCCCTCGCGGACCCTCCGCAGCGTCCGACGCAGTCGCCTGTGGCGCGCCCTCGCGTTCCGGCCGGAAGGGGGCCGGAGACGGGACGGCGGGCGGCGGCGCACAGCCCGCCCCAGGGTGGGCCCAGCTCCAGCCCGCCGCGCTCCCATACCCTCCCCGCCGCAGCCGAGCTGGACCGCAGCGGCCCGGAGACCATGCGCCGCCTCCCGCTGGTTCCGCTGCTACCGCTGCAGCTCGCCCTGCTCGTGGCCGCGGGGGCCCCCGAGGCTCCGGTCAGCGCTCCGCAGAGCCTGGTGTGGGGGCCCGGGCTGCGGGCGGGCGTCGTTTTGCCCGTCCGCTATTTCTACCTGCAGGCCGTCAACTCGGAGGGCCAAAACCTCACTCGCTCGCCCCCAGGTAGCGTTCGGCCGCGGGCCTCCCTCGCTCCGCTGCCCGCTCCCCTCCGTCCCCGCCGCGCGTCCCCGCCGCGACTGCGCCTCTCGGGAATCCGCCCGCCACCGGCGTGGCGTCCTTCCCCCGAGTCCGGTCATTTCCTCTTCTCTACCCGTCCCCGGACCCGAAGGCGGGAGGCAGTTGCAACAAGAGTCTGCTGAATGAATAAATGAACTCCGAGGGCCCTTCCTTAGTTAACGTGCAAGGACTGACATTCCGAATGGATGGCGCCCAGGGTGTTAGTGAATGCAGTGTGAGTTTCAAGTTGGAGATGGTCTTTCCACCCCTGACTAGTTGTCTGATCTGTTACAGCTTGGAGGGAGTGCCTTCACGTGTTGAGTGAAGCCCAAGAATCGGATCGGTTTACATTGCTTAGGCCTAATGGGTTTGAAACAGCTCCCACCTACACAAAGGAAATATCAGAGCAGTAGGCAGAAAGGAGGCAGTTTTGCAGATTAGGTTATTTTCTTAGAGTTTTGAGTCCTTGAAAGCAGATTGCAAGAATTAGCGAAACTCAGAACGCATTAGGTTTTACCTCTACCGAGGGTGGATATCGTCCTGAATCCCTTCTGCCCATCCTCCCACGTTCTCTTTAATATCTTACCTTTGCAACGTCTTACAACTTGTCCCGCTAGTTTCAAGTTGTTGCCAGTCAGGATTTGATAATTTATGTCTAAATTATGTCTTGCTAACTGGCACCCTGTTTTATCAACAGAGACAATCAGAATACCCAGTGCCCCTTCCGCTGCCTGTGGAAAACTGAGTACTTTTTTTTTTTCAGTTTTAGGAAGACTCTCCATGGCCCTAAGGATCAGAAAAAAAGTTTCTTAAACCCAGATTCAGTCTTTCACCATGGGGTGTATTTTCTTCTTTATAGTTTTCTTTGTTTTCTAAAATTAATTTTATAATGTTATAAATGGGGGAGGACTTTAGAAAGAAAAGAAGATGTAAAACTAAGGAAAAAATTAATTTATACATGAAAAAGGAAAGTTACATGATCCAAAAGGAAATACTGTTAATCTTACTTTTAATGAAATAACTATACATTCAAATAAAATTCCATTTTTTAATCTAAAAATAATGGCAAAAAAATTTTAAGTGGTAATACTCAAAGCTGCTAATGAGATACTCTCAGACGTCTAATGACCTTCATCCTCTGCTGGTGGGAGCACAATTGGTCAAATGTTTCTGGAAAGTAATTTTCCCAACATATGAAGAGTCTTAAACATTTACAAATCTAATGTGCAAAAATGAGTTTCAACAGTTAGAAAATGTAATTTTTAAAAAATATTTATGAAAAATGTCCATGCCCTTTTGAAACTGATAGGTGTCGTTTCAGGGGGCTCCAAGGAGCCTGGTCCTTTATGTCTCAACACAGAAAGAATTCAGCAAAAGGCAAAGTGATAGATAAAGAAGTGATTAATTAGAATAGAACACTTGTGAAGCTTACAAGTGGGCAGGCAAGTTGCTCTCCCCTGAGTGCTTAGTGGGTTACAGTTTTATAATCAAAGGAAGACAGGGGATGGGGAGAAGACCTTCTTTGTCTCTCTTGGGTAGATGTCACATTTCCATAAATGATTGTTTTTTTGTGTGTGCACAGAGCATGTGCCGGGGGTCATTAACTTGATGACACCACTAGGCAGGTTGTAGGCCTTATTCTCCACTATTGTTTTATTGTTTTTAGGGCATCAGGCAAAAAGCATGTTTTGGGGGTCATTAACTTACTGAGCTCCCTGGGCAGGATGTAGGTCTCATGCTACTATTGTTTTATTGTTTTGGGGCATGTCTCCTGCTTCTGTTGCATGATTTTGTTGCTAATCAAGTTAGCTTGATTTTGTTGTTAAGCAAGCCAATCTGGCTTTGATGCTAAGCAACTTGTTCTGCTTTATGAGTCAAGCAAGCCCACATTGTTTCAGGATTTTCCCATTACTTTCTTGAGTGATCATTAATCTTACTGTGGTCTCCCAAAGCCCCCTAAATTTCCCTCTCTATCTACAATTCCCTAATGGGGTTTCTAAGTTATTTGACTATCCTACTCAATCCCTTGAGTTTGACTATCCTACTCAATCCCTTGTGACATTGAATGTGGAAAAAAACTGATTTATTTCTTTATTTTCACTAACGTCTGACTTAGATTATTTCCTTCTATTATGAATGTGGGCAGAACCTGTTGACACTGTTATATTCCCAGCATCTAACATAATACCTGGCAGAGTTGCTCAGTAAATATTGTAGAAGAAAAGAAAGAAGGGGTGGAGAGAGGGTGGTTGGAGTATGTCAGGATGGCAGGATACAAGTACTCATTTTCTCCTCAGTCATCCTCTACCTTCATCAGTAATGATATCTTCATAAACTTATCTTACCTCCTAGTTGTGTAGCACTTCAGTGTTTTGAAGTGTGCCGTGTTTAATTTGCTCTCCTTAAGCATCCTGTGAGGTAGGAAGGGTAGATACTATTCTCTTCACTTTTCCTATAAGAAACCAGGTTAGTGAAAATAAATGTCTTTCCTGTGGCCCTACAGTGGATAAGGATCAGAGTCAAAACCAGATACCCAACCCTTTCAATATCTAGTTCAATGGTCTTTCCCTTTTATCAAATCACTGGTAATATGATCACTGTGAACCAGTTTTCACTAAGATCCTATAGAGTATCCATGGTAAGCAGGCAGCCAGACATTTGGGAGGATTTCCATTTAGCCTCAAGGTGTAACAAGTTGGCCTTCAGGGACTCTGTTCCCTTGGCCAGATGGAGTCAGCACTTTTGTTGCAGCTGTAGAGAGCCTTAATAAAATTCCTAAACAACAAGGGAGGTGCTGACTCCATTGTACCAGGAATGTCAGAGGTTATTTCTCCAACTATGAATTTTGGGAACCTATATGTTAACATTACACAATGTGACAAGTTGGATTCAGAATGGGCTTTGAAAGAAGAAAGATTCAAGCTGTGTGCAAATTTTGGCTCTGCTACTCATAGGTATGAGACCTTGGGCAAGGTATATACTTCAATTCTTCAAGGGAGCCTTGGCTTCCTGATCTGTAAAATGGGGTGACAAATACCTTCCTCACAAGTTCTTGGAGGAAATAAATAAGAGAAAATGCATGTGAAAATCTCAAGCTCAAGGACTGGCACAGTCCCCCTGGCTAAGTAAGTAAATTTTTAAAAAATGTGTTCTTTCTATATCAAAAGTCTGCAAAATTTCTGATTCTAATGATGTAAGGCTTTGATACTGCCAACCTCCTTTTGTCACCTTTAGTCACTGCATTCTCATTCAGTTAGCTATCTTTCCTAAACAAGTGTGGATTTGTGGAATAGAAAAGCTCAAGCTGAGCTTGATTCTGTTCCATTATACTAGCCCCCAGGGCAAATGAGAATTCACATTCCTTCTATCTGAAGCAATTTGAAATGACATTCTTCTCATTTTCTCTTTTATGATGTTGGAATTGCTTATTTCTATTTTAGTGTGATCAATTTAAAAATAAGTGTTTTGGAGATAGTTTTCTTTTGTAAATCCAGCTCCTTCCAAAATATCACATAGTCATTAATATGCTTGTCTTATATCTGTTTTGTTTATTTAAAAATCATAAACTTACGGAGAATAGCACTGTTTGATAGGAGATAAGAAGACTTTTCTGTCCTGTTTCCAGTCTGGGGAGAGAATGGTGGAAATGGCTTTTTAGTCTCGAGGCTCTGACTTCCTGATTTTCAGTCTACCATACCACATTGCCTTTCTGAAACTTAAGCGGGAAATAACGTAAAGCAATAACTTACGTATTTCATTAAGCATTTCAGGTAATTGGCCAACATTTATAATAATTTCACATTAAGTTATTACTCTTTTTTTTTATAAATCCCTTACATTTATCTGTTATAGTTCATTTTTTTAGCAGATGTCTTTCATAATTTTATCACACTTCTTTCAAGAATCCTAAAATGCATGTGTTTGGTACTTAATTATGTAGTAGCAATATGTCAGATACTACATTACTATTACTAAATTGAAGAGACTGAGAAACATTTTTTTCTGACCCACAAGAAAAAATGAAACCCTTGAAGATCAAAAAAAGTAGAAACATCACTCACTAGATTTAGAAACTAAGAATAGGAGGAACAAACTTTTTTCTTCAGTAATTTCAAAAATATATGTTAAATATGCTTAATACAATAAAATCAAAAAATAAAGCAACTATACTCCGATAAAAATTAATTTAAAAAAACAAAAATATGCTTAATATTTGAATATTATGAAATATGATAGTGTGAGATGAAAGACTATTTGATCACAAATTATTGTTTACTAGGACTGTGTATTTCAGAGGATTCACCACTTTTTTTTTAACAATTCCTTTGATAGGTGATTAACTGTGGTTAAGACATTAACTGATCATTATTCTTAAAGCTCCTGAGGATCAGATCTGTACTGAGTGCAGGTATGTCCACTGTACTCTCTGAAGAAAGAAGTCCCAACATTTATTCCTGCAACAGTATGTTTCAAAGCCTGAAAAGTCAGCTAATATACTGCAAAAAGAGAAGGGAAAGTTTGCTAAATAGGTATTGTCTATTCTGGAAAAGAAAACCCACAGAATTCTGGATTTGAAAAGGTTGTTAGATCATCCTAGTAGATCGTCCTAGTATAACTGTTTCACTTCAACTTGAGGAAACAAATTTAGAGAAGTAAACTCTAGCATTTACAAAGGTATGTGAGTTTGTGTGTACGTATGAGTGTGTTGCATTTGTGCAGAGTCTAGTAACTAGCTATAATCTCTCTCTACTTAAGGAAATGGGCTTGGAAGTATAGCTTGAAATTTGGGTTAATAAAAGGGAAATTTCTTCAGAATTGAGGTTTATTAGGTATTAAAATGATTTACAAAGAAAGCTTGTGCATACTTTATAAGGAGTAAGTTAGATTGCCTTAGAGCTATGTCATCCTAAAAGTTTATGGATTTTTAACTACCTGGGCTTTTAAACCTACCCAAAGGAGAAAAGATCAAATAGGCAAAAAATTAATCTCTTCCTTGTTTTTTTAAGAATTATTTTATTCAGTAATTTTATTCACTCAATAAATCTTATTGAATGACTAAGGAATCAAATGTTGAATCAGATCCTTCGTTTTGAGACATAAATCAAACGTAGTTCCTGGCCTCAAGGATCTTCCAAACTAAAATAATTTTGTTTACCATTGATAGTACTGAAAATATAACTTCTGCATAAAGACACTTACCCAATACTTAGTAAAACAAAATAACCATGAAATAGTAGAATTACTTATAATTTTTTTTTCTTTCAGGCCAAACACTATTCAAAGTAGTAATCAAATCTCTCTCACCTAAAGAGTTAGTTCGGATTCACATCCCTAAACCTTTGGACAGGAATGATGGGACATTTTTGATGCGATATAGGATGTATGAAACTGTCAGTGAAGGGCTGAAGATAGAGGTCCTTTATGGTGATGAACATGTCGCTCAGTCTCCCTATATTTTGAAAGGTAAGTAATTATTACATAAACTAGAGCCAGCCTTATGAGTAGACTCCATGGCTTTCAGAATGCGTTATGATGACCTTAAAGTCATGTGCAACAGGGTAAATGTTATATATGTATCTTCTGGAGCTCAATTTAACTTGATATTTTAAGGGAGAGAAAAACTAAGTAATTTAAAGCGATTTAAATGACAAGCAAAAAAATCTTGTGTGTTTACTGGAGTAGTTACCATTTTTAGTACTCTTTATTCTTTTGCATACATACATATTTTCATCTAGTACCATTTGCCTTCTACCTGAAGGATTCCCATTAGCTTTTCTTTTAATGTGAGAACACTGATGATTAGTTCTTCCAGCTTTTGGATATCTGAAAAAGTCTTTATTTTGCCTTTATTTTTGAAAGACAGATGTCTTTCAAAAATTATAGGTTGACAGGTTTTTTTCTTTTAATACTTGAAATATACTGTTCCACTGTCTTCTCACTTGCATTATTTCCCATGATAAATCTTCCATCATCTATATCTTTGATCCTCTGCTAAAGGTTTTCTCTTTATCAGTTTTTTTTTTTTGAGCAATTTGATTATTATGTGCTTTGGTGTAGGTTTCTTCATGTTTCTTGTGCTTAGGGCTTGTGGATCTTTGGGTTTATAGCTTTCATTAAATCCAGAAAAAAATTGGCCATTATTTCTTCAAATATTTTTTCTGTTCTACCCCAGCTCTCCTCCAAGAATTCTAATTACCCATACATTAAACTTGAAATTATCCCACGACTCAATTATGCTCTTTTCATTTAAAAATATGTTTTTTCTCCATTTCGTTTTGTATAGTTTCTATTGCTATATCTTTAAGTTCACTAATCTTTTCTTCTATAATGCCCAATTTGTCATTTAATTCCATCCAGTGTATTCTTCATTGCTTGATGCTTTCTCATCTTCTTGAGCTTTTCTCTAGGATGCAGTTAAGTTATTTGGAATTAGTTTGATCCTTCAAATTTTCTCTTACAATTTATTAGGCAGGCCCAGAGCCATGTTTAGTCTAGGGCTAATTATTCCTTACTACTCAGGCAATACATCTCTGCATACTCTATCCAACCTCTGTGAATTAGAATGCTTTCCAGTCTGGCTTGTATGAATAGGCACTATTCCCAGCCCTGTATGAACAATGGGTAGTGTTGCCTCTAATCCTTATGGATGGTCCTTTCTCTGCCTTGGATAGTTTCCTCAAACATATATATTTGTCAGTATGCCTTAAATATTTGAAGGGAACCTGTACAGATCTCTGGAGTCCTCTCTGTGCCGTGAGTATGTCCTACAACTTTTAGCTGCCTTGATCTCACTGGACTTTCAGCTCTTGTCTCCTCAACTCAGTGAGACTGCTGGGGTCTACCTGGATTCCTCCTCCATGTTCCACAGCCTAGAAACTCCCTTAGGCAGTAAGCTTTAGGAGCTGTAGGGTTTACCTCATTTGTTTCTCATCTCTCAAACTCATTGTCCATTGCCTGATGTCTAATGTCTTAAAAACAATGTTATTTCATATATTTTATCTGTTTTTTGGTAGTTTCAGGTAGGAGGGTGAATTGGTCCCTATTACTTGTCTGAAGTAGAAATGCTCAAGAAAATTGAATAACTTTAAAAAATTATTTTTATATTAAAATAAATATGGATATATTTTGAAATAATATATAAATTCTGCATAAATTCTTTTTTAAATGAGTCTTAAGAATAGTTTTATACTTATGTCTGGCCACTTTAAAATTACACTGCAAGATGCCCTTAGGTTTCATATTTCCTCTTTGAGATGTGATGATGGAGGTAGTTTTAGGGACTCAGAGGAAGAGAACTCATCTTGTCTTAAAAAATCACCACCCCTACTACATAATCATGCCTAAAAAGTAATACATTCTCTTTTTCCTTGTTAAAAGGTAAGTTGTTTTATGCTCATCAGCCATTTATAACTCATTAGAAATAAATTTTTCAGTCAATTGACTGAGAGTAGCTTATATTGGGAGAGAGCATATGCTATACTAGGTTATCTAGGGTGGCATGAAAGGGGGATAGAAGGTGGGAGCACAAGACTCTGACATTACTACTTTTACCACTGATTTGTTTAGGGCAGATTTTCCCTGTCTGGATAATCTTAGAATTTACCAAGAAGTCATCCCATGCTCACAGCAGGGGCAGAAACAACTTCCTGTGTTGCAGTGCATGTTAATGGAACTTGGCATTGTATGTGTTTTGCTTTCCTTAGGACCAGTGTACCATGAGTACTGTGAGTGTCCAGAAGAGGATCCTCAGGCCTGGCAGAAAACTCTGTCTTGTCCAGCCAAGGAGCCACAGATTGCAAAAGATTTTGCTTCTTTTCCCAGCATCAATCTCCAGCAGATGCTAAACGAAGTTCCAAAAAGGTTTGGGGATGAGAGGGGTGCTATTGTTCATTACACGATTCTCAGTAACCTAATCTACCGGAGATCTTTAGGGAAATACACAGACTTCAAAATGTTCTCAGATGAGATTTTGCTGTCACTGGCAAGAAAGGTATGAGAATGAATTCACTGATTCTAAAAATAGTTTAATTATTTATTTGTAACATTTAATTCTTAGAATAATAATGGTAAAGAATGGAAATGGATTCCAGGCTTGAAAATGTGCATCTGTCTGCCACCTGAGTGCTCATAAGTTCTTCACCTTTATGGATATCTCTTTCCTTTAATGTTTAAGTTAAATGGCTTGAGCCCCCATCCCAGGTAAGTAGGCCATATAGTGCTCTCCCAAGGAGCTGAATACTCCTTCCATTCAGATTTCACTTTCTACAGCAATTTTCTTCTTGTCACCTCAGAATAAGTTGAACTGAGGACACATTTTCCTTGTTTTATCCTAAGTGCATACATTTTCCTTGTTTTATCCTAAGTGCATTGCACACTTTATTGAATGTTGGGGTAACTGAGAGAGGTTATTTTGTGCCAATGCAGAGTAAACAAAACAAAACAAAAATCCTAACATTTAAAAATAGACATCCCTGTGTTAATCAGACTCTCAGTCATCCTTGCCTCTGGGAATTTCTCACTGGCTGTCCTTGATTTTCAAGTCTTGGCTTCTTACTAAATATGACTGGGGCTTCTGTCTTTCAAAAGACTTCTCCACATCCCCAGCAACTCCTCCCCCAATCCCTCTATTCAGCCCCTCTTTCCACATTTGCCAAATTCCTATAAATTCCTCTTAAGCAGAGCAATTCAAACTGCCTTTTGTTCTTTCTTGTTCCTGATTATGCAGAGTAAAGGATGAGGATGGGCATTTTTTACCTTTTTCACCCAGAAAGACCATCAAGGTAGTTTTCTAAATCAAAAGCCAGCTTTCCTGATGTAAGTTATACAATTTCCCAAGCACATGGAATGTAGGGCTGCAATCAATTCTTATTTTAAGTAACAGTTGCCTCCTATCTCCCCATCAGCCCACCGTATGAGCATATGAGCATATTATGGGCATCTGATCCTAAAGGCGGTTCTTTCTTCCTGGGCTACCATCAGTCCACTCTGCCCTGTATTTCTGTATCTTGTACTCATGTGGTTTTTAACTAGGAATGATTTTTCCCCTTAGAGGAATTTGGCAATGCCTAGGGACATTTTTGGTTATCGCAACTGGGGAGTTGCTACTAGCATCTGGTGGGTAGAGGCCAGGGATTCTGCTAATCATTCTACAATGCACAGGACAGCACCCACAGGAAAGAATTATCCACACCAAAATATCAATAGTGCCAAGATTGAGAAATCCTGCTCTACAGTGAGAACTTCTGATGTGGAGCTTACTAATGAGCTACTAAATGATAACAGGGAAGCACTAAGGTGAATAGTCATATCCCTTTGCCCTTCCCTTTTGTTCCAGATTCTTTGCCCAGTGACTGAAAGGAGACCTACCATAAGTGAGATTCACCTCTGGTCTTTGAACAGCTCACTCTAGTGGAACTTGTTTTTGTTATTCAGAAGTGAGGATGGGATGTAAATACAAACAAGTAATTGTACCACAACACGATAGGCCCATAAGAAAAGTAGGTACCCAGGGTTAAAATGTCTGAGGAAGGCGAGTCATAGAGGAGGTCACATTAGCTCTGAGTGTGAAGGATGAGAAAGGAGACTGCCAAGTGAATAAGTAGGAGAAGGGCATTCTAGGTGAAGAGAATTACGTATTAAAGTGGGTGGCATTTTCAGAGAGTAACTAAAGTTTTCTGGTACACGGGCAGATGGAAGATGGATTCAGAGCTAAGCTGGAGTAAGAGAATGGGGCCTGAATTCCAGCCAGAGAGTTTAGACCTTGTCCTATAGGCTTAAATTTCTGTTAAGCTTAATAGTAACATTAATTTGGGTTTTAGAAATTTGGACAGTAATGTGGAGAGCAGATTAGAGTGGGGAGAGGCTAGAATCAGAACATCTAGTAAGGGACAACTATTGCAACAATCTCGGTAAGAGATGATAAAGGCCTAAGCTGAGGCATTGACCATGGAGATAGAAATGGATAGCAGATTCCAGAAACAAACATAGATGTTATAAAAACGCTTGGTAGTGAAGGAAAACAAGGGCTTGGGTCTAACTTTGTAGATTCTCACTTAAGCAGCTGGCAGAAAAGGTGCTTGAAGCCACTCATTCACACCTTTCTACACAGTTTCCATATCTATAATACACAACAGTTTTAAATGTCACCTCTGAACAGAGGTAGCTAACTCCTGCTCAAGTGAATTGTCATGTACAATCCTCACCCTTGATTTTCTGATACTACTGATGACTGAGAGGCATCCTTCTCTCTTCTACTATTTTCAAATTTCAGTTTTATCAGAAATATTTTAAAAGCCAAAGAACTGAAGCATTTACTACCAAAGACTGAGGTCTTCCCAGCACTGATAAGCATTCTTTTGTTTATTTAGGTCCTTCTCCCAGATTTAGAATTTTATGTTAATCTTGGAGATTGGCCTTTGGAGCATCGAAAAGTCAATGAAACCCCTGGCCCTTTACCTATCATTTCATGGTGTGGCTCTCTGGATTCACGAGATGTTATCCTTCCAACATATGACATCACCCACTCCACACTTGAAGCTATGAGGGGTGTTACAAATGATCTTCTCTCTATTCAAGGAAATACAGGTAAAAGTCATTCTCTAAGAAAAAGCTTAGAAGTAAGAAAGGTGAAAGGAATGTTCAATCAGAGAGGGTATGTGAATATATTTAAATAACCATTGTTCTTATTTTCTAGCCAGGAAAAAAGAAAAACAGCACTCTAAACTCTAAAGTGGTTTTTGTTTAGGATTCTTCTAATCCAGAAATTAAAGATATGTGGATTAGGCTAATAATGTCTAGAACCTACTGTAACTGAGTCTCCTTTGAGTTGGTCACTTGTAAATACCATTTGAAAATACATATTTGGTAAAACTATCACTTAACTTAATTCTGACTCCAGTGCCTTTATATTGCTGGATGAAATGAGAGAGAGTTCTGAAAAACATAAAATTATATTCATATGTAAGAGAATTGTGATAACAGTATAATTTGGATATTACAACCTCCAGCACCATAAGAAATTCTTCTCTTCCCTCTTTCTACCTCTCTTGATCCTTTACAATCTGAATTCCTTTCCTCCTATTTGATGGCCTTAGGTTTATGGTACTACACACCTTTTCATTAAACCGAACTCCCTGAGTAGAAAAAAACCCTGCCTTGTCTTAATAAGTCTCTATTTCTGTTTAGAGCAGTTTAGTGGACTTATTTAGTAGACAAGTCTAGAGACTCCTTGTAAACTCTCTAAAGGTAATGGGAAATGGAAACTGACCTACTTTTTATTTGATAACAGTAAATTCCTGTTTACTGTTTACTGAAACATAGAAAACAGTTTCTATGTTTTATGATTTATCCCTTAGAACACTGACAGGTGTTAACTAATGACTTCTTTTTAGAATAATAGAAAGAGAGCTAAATTAATTCTTCCAGATTATTTCCCTCCCAGGAAAGAGAGGATATAAATATATATACATAGTTAAGTTATACAAAACTTATTTGCATTTAACAACATATTAGAAAAATTCTTCACTGTATTCAAAAGTGATATGCTCAAAATTCTGAGCAACCTAAGAATTAAAGATGTGTGGATGTTACTTAATTCTCTACTTTGTTTTAGTCACTCTAAGAACAAAAGCCTAGCTCTTTTTTTTTGTGAAGCACAAAAGTTGGAAGAAACTAATGCCTTGATGAGTGAGCCAAGTCATGGAATCTCTTTTTGCTTTGAACTTGATCCAGCATTATTTTGGATAATTCCTTATGTCATGCAATAGAAACTCCACTTTTTGAGTGACCTCTCACTAGTACACTAAAGGATAAAATTAGAGCATATTTTTCGAAAGTAACATTTACTTTAGATGTGTTGATGATAAAAGAGCTTTAGCATCTTAAATGACAAAGGTAGATTAAAGGTGATTATACTTACCATCATATAAAAATGTCAAAATCATAATTGTATTTTTTTATGGTCTCAAACCTCTAGGACCTTCCTGGATCAATAAAACAGAGAAAGCTTTCTTTAGAGGTAGAGATAGCCGAGAGGAGAGGCTCCAGTTGGTGCAGCTGTCCAAAGATAATCCACAGCTACTAGATGCAGGAATTACAGGATATTTCTTCTTCCAAGAAAAAGAAAAGGAGCTTGGAAAAGCTAAATTGATAGGTTTCTTTGACTTCTTTAAGGTATGCAATTAAGTCTTCCTGGATAGATATGAAGTGATAAACTTGTATTAAAGGTCAACCAAATAGCCGGGGTTGGGCACATTTCTCCCATCTTGTGACCCAACACACACTTTCTTATCAGGCATAGGGAATTATGAAACTCATGCAGTTTCTTTTTTGTTTGTTGTTGTTGTTAACTTTGTCTAACAAATAGCTCAGAACTGTATTTAATACTCAAAATACAGTACAAGGATTAACCTAGAGTTTTGGTATATTTCCCTGTTTTTCTCTTTTTTGTATTTTTTTTAATAAACTGGGAATATAAATGTCTTTTACATAAAACGATCTTGTAAATAAAAAGAGTATGAATTCTATGCTAGTAAAATGGGGTTCAAGTCCTGCCTTCAGTCCTGCCTCTGCCACTAACTGTGGGGCTTTCATCTCTTAGCACTTCTCGCCACTAACATGTGTGAGCCTGCCTAGCTCCTTCAGAGCACCGTATAAGGCTCAAAGGAGATAGAGGTGTGACAGTGTGACAAAATCTGACTGGCTGGTAAAGTCCTTGGTACCAATTATTTAAGAAAAAAGTAATTACCAAATCTGTTAGTATATCCTGTTCCTCTCAGTGTGATATAATGAAGAGAGCATGGGATTTGGGCTCATAGAATAGAGGTTTATAAATATCTCTGAAACAAATTTTATCATTAATAAAAAAAAAAAGAGAGGGAGATGATAACATCTGCTTCACATTATTATAATTGAATGAAAAGTGACTTTAAATGTAAATCAAAGTTTATTAATCCAACAAATATGTCCATACTGTGTCAGCAGCATCACACTAGTCCTTAGTCTTCTCCAGGCTTCTGTCTCCTCAACTCTAAAACTGAACTTTGAGATAATAATGCCTTCCTTTTTTATACTAACATGGGTATAAGGAAAAAATGAAATAAATGAAAGTGTAAATTGTTATCAATATTAAGCTTTACTAAATATAGAGCTTTGGAAATAGTTTTCTTACCTGGTTACAGAAATCTGAATTTCCCATTACATAGACATAGTTGAAATAGGTATTCCTATTTTCTAAAATTATTTATTATCTTTAAATGTGTTGTATTTCTTAAAATTGACCTGTTAAATGATACTTATGATTTTAATACAAAGAGAAGATGTGTGTTACAAAATAAAATATAAAACTTGTAAATACTAAAGTTGGGAAATAACTTCTTTATATTTAATGTTACAGTGTTGACAAGAAGCAGAAGTGAAACAAATGACTGTTAAAATTTTTGTTTATGTTTGTTTTAATCTTTTAGTACAAGTATCAAGTGAATGTGGATGGGACTGTGGCTGCTTATAGATATCCATACCTCATGCTTGGTGACAGTTTGGTTCTGAAGCAGGACTCACCATATTATGAACATTTCTATATGGCCCTAAAGCCTTGGAAACATTATGTTCCAATTAAAAGAAATCTTAGTGATCTACTAGAGAAAGTTGAATGGGCCAAGGTATGCTTTCTGCCATTTTAGTTTCTTTAGGCAATCACAAATTCACCAGTATTAGTTACACGAGTTCCATCATAACATAATTTAATTTGACATAATTTAGTCAAAAGAAACGTTATTTTGTGAAATTTTTGTTCCCTTGAAATATCTGAAGAATCAATATCAGAACAATTTTGAATACCCTCTATCAATATGTTTGAGGATTTTTAGAAGACTTGAAGTCCAGTGTTATATAGAATATAGATTTTTCTAAAGTATCCTTATTCATGCACACATACCAAATGCAAATTACACACACCAAATGCAAATTACAGATTAAAAAGACCAGGGTTAAAGTGCTTTATGCACAAGAAAACATTTAAAGCAATTATGGTACCCTTTTGTTTTCCCCAGTTAGAAAAAAAGGCACAAGTTCTTTGTTAAATTAATTTTTATTGGAGTATAGTTGATTTACAAATGTTATGTTACTTTCTGCTGTACAGCAAAGTAAATCAGTTATATATATACATATATCCACTCTTTTTTAGATTCTATTCCCATATATGTCATTACACAGTATTGAGTAGAGTTCCCTATGCTATACAGTACGTTCTTATTAGTTATCTATTTTATGTCAATTCCAATCTCCCAATTTATCCCTCCCCTGACTCTTTCCCCATTGGTAACTATGAGCTTTCCCCCTTGGTAACTATAAGTTTGTTTTCTATATCTGTGACTCTATTTCTGTTTGGTAAATAGGTTCATTTGTACCATTTTTTTTAGATTCCACATATAAGTGATATCATATATTTGTCTTTCTCTGACTTACTTCACTCAGTATGACAATCTCTAAGTCCATCCATGTCACTGCTAATGGTATTATTTTGTTCTTTTTTATGGCTGAGTGATATTCCATTGCATATATGTACCACATCTTTATCCATTCCTCTCTCAATGGACATTTAGGTTGCTTCCATGTCCTGGCTATTGTAAATAGTGCTGCAATGAACACTGTGGTGAATGTATCTTTTCGAATTATGGTTTTCTCTGGATAACAAGTTCTTAATGAATCACAAGTTTCCCATAAAATAAGAACTCTTTTTTTAAAAAAGGAAAAGTATTAAAAAGCTCTTGTGTTTTATTGTGAAATTATAAAATTTACCCTTCCATTGTAAGACTTTATTTTGTTTCTGAGAAGCAATGTGGCTATGGAAATAACTGGGTGCCCCTGAGGCAGAATATTTTTGTGACCCTTTATAAAGAGTCAGAATTGCTTGCAAGTGGCTTTTCCTGTGGGCAGCATGATAGAATATTAGCTATTTTCTAAAAGTATAATTAGGAATGCTGACTATTCCTGGTACTGAAGGAACAACCTATGGGTACTAATAACTGAATTTTTTATTACAACAATAATATAGTCTTTCATAGGTACCATTTTACAACAACTTTTTGGCTCAGACTACATATTTAAATGGAGCTTTTAAGAGATGTTATAAAAACTAATTCATTCTATTTTAGTTGTATTTTAATATCAGGCAGAGAGGGTTAGATTAGGGGAACAGATGATGAGCCCTAACTTCCTGGGTAGCTAGGAAAGTACCAAGATAGTCACGATAGGGGCTGTATGTGGGTTGTTGCACTGGGACAGGGGGGATCCAGACAGGTATGATTATATGATTATTTCTTTATAGCAGAGATTTCTAGGAAAGTACTTTGTCTATTTCCATAACCTCATTCTTAAGTTATATATTTTTTTTCTTTTTTTTTTTTTTTTTTTGCGGTACACGGGCCTCTCACTGTTGTGGCCTCTCCCATTGCGGAGCACAGGCTGCGAACGCACAGGCTCAGCGGCCATGGCTCACGGGCCCAGCCGCTCCGCGGCATGTGGGATCTTCCCGGACCGGGGCACAAACCCGTGTCCCCTGCATCGGTAGGTGGACTCTCAACCACTGCACCACCAGGGAAGCCCTTAAGTTATATTTTTATGTTTCATCTCTCCCATGCTGTTCACATTCAACCCTACATCTGCCCTACCTCACATTCACAATTAGCTTTCTTTGTGAGTCACAGGAGTAATCTTCATTCATTGTTTCTTTTTAAACTTTTCAGGAAAATGATGAAGAAGCCAAGAAGATTGCAAAAGAAGGGCAGTTGACTGCTAGGAATCTGCTACAGCCCCACAGGCTTTACTGCTACTATTACAGAGTACTACAGGTCAGTTCAGAGGATCCATCTGCTTGGTTGAGTGTCCTCAGACCAAATGCATGGCCTGAATGCTTGCTTCCTGGAGGGGTTCAAGAGTCAGTCAGCCTGTGGAACTCTGGCTATGCTGAGGCACCAGCCTATAGAAAGATAGTGCTAAGTCCCTTTGTGGCCTCCATATTTTTATCTCCATTCAGTATTATGAAAAACAATGCTTAGCGCCATTACAAATATAGATTAAAATCTCGGAACCTCAGAGAACATCTTTCCTCATATGGAAAATAGGAGGGTTGGACTAGAGATCATTAACATCTCTTTCTGTTCAAAATATCTACCTCTTTGTTCTCCTTACTGCGTAAGAGCCACGCTTTTGCTATCAGTACAGGATGGAAAACAAATATTTAATTTGTTGTATAAAACAAACAAATGAAAAATACAGTTGACCCTTGAACAACATGGGTTTGAACTGTGCAGGTCCACTTACATGTGGATTTTTTTTAGTAGTAAATACTACAGTACTACACAATCCAAGGTTGGTTGAACCCACGGACATGGAACCATGCATACTGAGGAATCACATATATGGAGGGCCAGCTATAAGTTATACACAGATTTTCAGCTGTGCCGAGGGTCAGTACTCCTAACCCCTACATTGTTTAAGGGTCAGCTTTATTTATAATCTAAAACCTTAGGGCTGAATTCTGAAGTACAGATATTTACTGTACTTCCAAGAATTCAAGGATTGGTTCTTTGTATAATTAACTTGTGTTTTACTCAGTAAAATTTAGCCAGAAGAGAAAAATAAGAAATTATGTTTTTGTTGTTAACCTAAACTTATTTTTCTGTGAGGCAGGAAAAAAATAAATTTCCTCAGATGCCTGAGGCTACTACCCTCTCACAGAAAAATTAAAATGATTAATTACACCATTTATTAGAAGCAGCCTTTTCCTTAAATGAGTTCTTTTCCCTCTGCTAGTCTGGCTGTAATTTTAATGATAGGAGTGTCTCCCTCTGAAATATTAATTAGGTTCATGTACACATGTCACTATTTTGTTGGATTTGACCCAGGACCAGGAATGTACAGCTTCCTGGTACATGGAACCACTGAACTGAAAAATCCAATGTATAGGAATATTTCAGTCAGTGGCCAAAAAGGAGAGACATTTCACAGGCCTGTCGCCATTTACAAAGTGTGTGTGACTACAGGCCTAAAGGGAAGGATGTGTGAAACTACCAACTTTATTGTGAGATGCTTATCATCTTTGTTCACTGATTTGAATATTCAGCAAAGTTAATTATTCATTAACACATGGAGGATGAATTCGAGAGGTGCTGTTGTTCAAGTAGGGACATCCCGTTACAAGAGGCTTCTTTCCTATACATAAAATAGTGGATGGGGCTCCTTGCTAGATTATGAAATATCATACTAGTGCCTATAATAACTAAAGTTAAAAGGTAACTTTAGGACTGAGATAAACCAGACCTTTAGTTTTAGTCTGAAGATACATAGCCACTAGAAACAATAGCATGAAGGGAGCGGGGAGGATTCAGTGGAATGAAGTTTGGACTAATCTTTCCATTGCCTTCAAACACATTCCAGAAATACGCTGAGCGCCAGACCAGCAAACCCGAAATACGTGATGGAATGGAACTTGTTCCTCAGCCAGATGACAGTGCATCTATCTGCCAGTGCCACCGGAAAAGGCCTTTAAGAGAAGAGCTTTAAGTCAGCCCATAGTCACACTCCTGGATATGCCGGCAACATCTTTCATGGCAGCATTCAGATGGAATCTAAGCTGTGAAGACTGTGAAGACAGCCTGGAAGACTATTTGCAGGGGACTGCTTCTCTTGGTGGCTTCATATAATGTGGATGGATAGAGCAATATTAGAGCAAGTATTACCAAATATCTTAGGATATTTATATCTTTTGAGTAAACACTGCTATTATCAGCATCATAGTTTCTCTGAAAAGAAAACTTGGGGATCATAGTAGATAGAGAGGCTTGCCAAAATATAAATAACTCTCTATGAAACTATTTACATTGTATTTATTGGTTTGTTTCTATCCCTTGTTCACTTTCCCTCTTCCCTTTCCAATGATGAAGAAAAAATATTTTTGCAGGGCTTTTTTTACCCCCTTACTGCATAACTTCTCCTCCTACAAGCTGCTTTTGGCATTCAGTAATAGCAAGTTTCCTCTTGGAAGGTCTGAGATGAATAATGAAGGAAGATGAGAATGACTCTGTTATTAAAGGTAGCTTGGAAATTATTTTAAAGCTCATTCATATCTTTTTAACTAAGTTTTACCAAGCCCTAAGACAAAATTAAGGAGAGGTAGTGCCTTAAGCTAGTTAATTCCCAGTCTATCTGAGTTGGACACCCATCAAGGACAACACAGTTATTAAAGTAGATGACAGCATCCTATCGGTATCTTCATTATCTATATATTGAATAGATAAATGATAACTGTAGTCAGATAGGGATCTTTAATTCTTTTTAATCTTTAAAAGGGATACTTGAAAAACCTCTGAAACAAGCTGCAGGAAGCCTGGTATCTTGGGATTCACTAATAAGCTAATGACAAAAGCAAGCATCCATTCTTCACTGCACCCCTCCTCTATTTCACTATGCTGTATTGCTAAGATAAAAACTTTGGAAATTTCCTTTGCCTTTTAGGACAGGGTGAAGTCTTAAGACCCAGAAATTCATTACACACTCCTTGTAATACCACCAATATGAGATTCAATTCATTAAGAACACACTCCCAAAAAAAAGAAATATCCACACTCCAATTTAAAAATATTTACTCTCCTAGTTGAAATATTTACTTAACCTGGAAAACAACGTAACCACTTTAAAATAGTCATATCTGTTCTTTACTGAACATCATTAGGGACACAGAATTTTTTTAACTAGACAAAAGCAAAAGCACATTTAGTAACAGTGTAATCAAAGCCAAGTATCCATGGAAAACACTAATACCCAGCAGTTGTTCAAAAGCACAAGTGCACAAGTATAAAATAAAGGGCAAGCTGTACAGTGACCAGATCCTAAGGAGAAGAGGGGTGTGAGGATATGTAAGTTAATATAATAACTACATTTGTCAAAATAAGCTATCAACATTTTGTTTTTATTAATAAAATGTTGGAAACACCTTAAATAGCCATCATGAGGGAGCTAGCTAAATATATAGCTATACATCAAGGAATACAGTACAACCATTAAAAAGAATGAACTAGCTCTAAATGCACTATCATGAAAGATTTCCATGACAGTGTTCAGTGTAAAAAGCAAGTTACAGAACAACACATATAATGTGAAAACATTTATGTAAAAAAATATATCCATGTGATTGAAAGTTTAGAAGGATATTCACCAATATCTGAGGAAAATGGAGAGAAGGGAATTTTTACTTTTTGCCTTATACCTGTCTATGATATTTAAAATGTTTTTACTGTAAGTATGAATCAGATTGGACAATAAAGAAAAATACAAACCTAGGAAAAGAAAATAAATGCATAAAAGATATACATAGGAAAATAAAATGGATATTTATATTTTCCATTATGCTATTTTTAAATCTACTATGTCTAGAATTTTATATCATGTGACATATTATTTACACATTTTAAATAAAGTAAATTTTCTAAATAAAATTTTGAAACAGATAAACTTGTTTTTTAAGAAAGAGGATTGAATCACCTATAGCTTTGGTATTTCTGTAAGTGGGTTGGTCTAATTTTAATTCTATTATGTCTTCATGAATAAATGGATCAAAACTTCTACCACAAACACTAAATCCCTAGTGAGTAGACATTAATATTAAAGGAAAAGATATTTGGGCTTGACACCGTTATTTTCTGTTATTTCAGGTGCAAATACTGTTAAGTGCAGTGTCTTTGTCAGTTCACGCGACCATTATAACAAATATACCATAGACTGGGTGGCTTTGACAGCAAATATTTATTTCTCACAGTTCTGGAGGCTGGAAGTCCAAGATTAAAGTGCCAGCAGATCTGATGTCTGATGAGAGCCCACTTTCTGGTTTGTGGACTGATGCGTTCTCATTGTATCCTCACATGGCAGAAAGCAAAGAGAGAGGAAGCAAGCTATCTCCTCTGTCTTCTTATAAGGGCACTAATCCCATCATGAGGACTCCACCCTTATGACCTAATTAGCTCTCAAAGGCTCCATCTCCAAATACCATCACATTAGGGATGAGGGTTTCAACATAATGATTTGGGGGAGCAGGTGGGGACAAACTTTCAGTCCATAGCAGGCAGGGAGAGGAAAAATTCTCCCCTGACATAATAAGGCCAAGGTTAGAAGAAATATAAATTTCTTATTTGGAGGGATAAGAAATCATCCTTGTGGTGGTAAGGCATGTTTGACTTCAAATAGTTGAGGACAAAATTAACCAGACTGTAAAAATCCCTCTTTTATGCATAGAACCACAGTTTACCCTATCCCAACCACTGCTGTGCCTACCCCACACCAGCCTCTTGTGGAGCCATTCCACTTGCTGAGATCAAAGTTGTCTCTTTTAAGCCAAGTTCTCTCTGTAGAGCTGTGTGGAAGAAGCCACACTAAACTTTACTGTGATAACCAACACTGCAACATTTCTTAGACACAAGAAAAGAAGACTGGAGTTTGTTTATTCTATGAGAAGAAATAGCAAATCCTGGAAGTGTGCACGGGGAGGGTAGGGGGTGGCTTATGTAGAGGGAATTATATACAGCCAGAAGTGAAGAAAGAAAGTTAGAAAAGAAATATTTTCATGAGCTACCTGTTTTGTTTCACCCCCAACTAGGTGTACTTCAATACAATTTGATGCTAACCACCCAGATTCAGCATCAGATCCCACAGGTGTAGGGCTCACTGTTACACAAGACTGCCTTTACAGACACCAGGCAAAAGTGAGGTCCCCAGGCTACCCACACTTCTGACCAACTGGCTGCAAATTCAGGGGTTCCCATGACCCCTCTCAGGTTCAATAATTCTCTAAAACAATTCAGAGAACCCAGGAAAATGCTATACCTAACTACTACAGTTTCATTTTAAAGGATACCCATAGGGCACGGTCTAGAAAGGAGCACAAAGCTTTCATGCCCTCTCTCTGGGAGGCCAGGGCATGTCACCCTCATCATTGTGCTACTAATCAGGAAGCTACACTGAGCTTTGGTGTCCAGAGTTTTGGGGGCAGTCTCATGTAGACATGGTCAGTGGACTAAACCACTGACCATGTGATTGAACTCAATATCCAGCCTCCTTCCCCTCCCAGGAGTTTGGACAGCTAAAGTCCCAATCCTCTAATCATGTGCTTGGTCTTTTTGGTGACCAGTCCCATTCCGAAGCTACCTAGGAGTCCCACCATTAATACCTCATTAGAGACTTCTTTCTATCACTCAGGAAATTCTAAGGTTTTCAAAACTCTCTACCAGGAACCAGAGACAAAGATCAGGTATATTTTTTATAATATCACACCTCTGAGAGCCTTGGAACTGAGGACTACCTAAGTCACCAGACTTGATTCGAGGGAATGAAGTAGCAAGATCAATCTCACTCCAGAAGGTTTGGGACAAATACCTGAGTATTACAGTATGTGTTAACCAAATCCCATATAATTTAGTTCATAGTATATGACAAGGGGATATTTTAAACAGGCACAGTGTAATCTCTCTCTGATTTCTAAGAGTTTTTATCTACATCTTTAAAGTGAGCTAGTGGACAGCAAGAAGTAACATGCTTCAGATGACAGTGAAGTAGCTAAAGAAATATAAGAGCTGTTTCCCCTTCATACCCCATCCCACCCCCATTCTTTCTCCTTACCAAAGAGTAGCAAGAACCTTCTGCCACCACCTATGCCACTGGTATCACTAGCACTGCAGCTATGGAACAAGCACTTGTCACCTACATGGGCTGAATAAGTCCTCCAAGAAAAATGACTTGTCTTCTGCCCATGGAAGAATTCCTAAAGAATCAGACTTTGAAGGCTAGCAGGATTTGATTGCAGGACTTCGACAGAACTGGGGGAAAACAGAGACTCTACTCTTGGAGGGCACACACAAAGTAGTGTGTGCATCGGGACCCAGGGGAAGGAGCAGTGACCCTATAGGAGACTGAACCAGACCTACCTGCTGGTGTTGGAGGGTCTCCTGCAGAGGCGGGGGGTGGCTGTGTCTCACCGTGAGGACAGGGACACTGGCAGTGGAAGTTCTAGGAAGTACTCCTTGGCATGAGCCCTCCCAGAGTCTGCCATTAGCCCCACCAAAGAGCCCAGGTAGGCTCCAGTGTTGGGTTGCCTCAGGACACACAACCAACAGGGAGGGAACCCAGCCCCACCCATCAGCAGACAAGCATATTAAAGTTTTACTGAGCTCTGCCCACCAGAGCAACACCCACCTCTACCCACCACCAGTCCCTCCCATCAGGAAACTTGCACAAGCCTCTTAGATAGGCTCATCCACCAGAGAGCAGACAGCAGAAGCAAGAAGAACTACAATCCCGCAGCCTGTGGGACAAAAACCACATTCACGGAAGGATAGACAAGATGAAAAGGCAGAGGGCTATGTACCAGATGAAAGAACAAGATAAAACCCCAGAAAAACAACTAAATGAAGTAGAGACAGGCAACCTTCCAGACAGAGAATTCAGAATAATGATAGTGATGATCCAGGACCTTGGAAAAAGAATGGAGGCAAAAATTGAGAAGATGCAAGAAACGT